CACCACAAGTGATAAATGCAGCAGTGATCTGCTCTGCTTTAGCTGTTGGAATGGTAGAATGGTGGGCTTAGCATGCTGCATGCGTTTGTTCCGACAGCTGGCTTGATGAGTTAAGAATATTGCGTGTTTTTTTGTTTTGTTTTGCAAGAAAAATTACATTCTCTATGGCTTCTGAAGACGATGAACGTTGCTATTCTGTGTCTTTTTTTATGGCTTGCCAATCATTACCATCTTTTAAATCTGTGGGGCTCGGCCTTTGTTCTTTTCGTAGTGAATTCAGAATATTTTGCTGCTCTAAAGTCTTATTATTTGAGTGCATTCTTAATCCTAAATTATTTTCGAGAGGAACTCTCAATTACTTTTTCTGCTGTCATGTGCCATTTTTTGCTTTCTAGTATACTGCCTTTTTTTAGAACAGTTTCTCTGGTACTGCACATCATTTTAGTTAGGCTTCCTTTTGGAGAGAACGGCAAATATAAATAAATACTGTCCTTTGTCTGAAGCTCTGAAAATGTCCTAGAAAGCCAAGCACTGCAGCTAGCCTTACTGTACCTGTGTGCTGGTCTTTGCCAGGTAAAGGTCTACTTTCATATCACGGTTTTTCAGGTTTCTTTGAAACTTAAAAATTGAATTAGAATCTGTCGTGGGTGGGAAGATTACCTTTCTGTTTTGTTTACGATAACTTCCTGCACAATGCTGTGCATCGCAAAATCCTAGATCTATTTCAGTTTGCATACTAAGATTTTAGATTATAATTTGGTTTAAAAGTTAACGGGGCTAGTTTACATTTTAGGCCATTTTTGTGCATCCAGGAATGGGTTTCACTTTGTATTGTTCGTTTATATGTTTTTTGGGGGGGTAACAGTATTTAGTTCTGTTTGCTTGCAAGTAGCCCTTCTAGTCATTATGACATGATGAGGAATTACATTATACTGTATCGTAGTCCCCTGTCCTCCACATGCTGAACCATCGGTATTCCCATAGTGTTCAAATAGATTCACCGGTTCCACCAGACCATTATACCTATGCATCTTCTATTATTTTATTTAGGGATCCTTTGCAAGAACTGCTGAAATCTAACTTGTAAACAGCATTTTTTTGTGGTCTTTCTGCACAAACTACTATAGCTCAAAATAAAGATAGGATTCATATAGGCTTAGCAGAATTTGTAGTTGAAGTACAGGAAACTACTGTAGTTATAGTTAAAATACAATTGTATTTATGAAAACCTTCCAAGAAACTCCTTACTGCACATGGGTGCAATCTGGTCCTCTGCTGACACCTCTCCAGTTTTTGTTTCAGCTGATGGTTGAAATTGTCTTCTTGATTGATTTAAAATACAGTTGTGGCTATTGATTCCTTAGGTTTAGAAAATCGGTTGGTGTGGGTGGGTGAGCATTATATTGTAGCGCATTCATTATGCAATAGAGTGTAAGTGTCATGTAATTGTATATGAATTTCTCTGTGTAGTTGAGTAGTCAAATTGAGCAGATTTCCCCCCAATTTGTTATATCAGTGGTTATTTTATAAGGTCTGAATTGTAGTTTGTGTCCATGCATGTACTTTACATCCTTTTAAAAGTAGTAGGTTTAATAGATCTAAAGTATGATTTATATTTTAGTTAGAACAAAAAAGTACAGTTTTGCATTCAGGCAGTTAGGGCTGTTAGTGGATATACATTATCACTGGGTGGAGCACAGTTTTCAAAAAATTATTTACACATTCTTAATTCTCAAAATTCTTTAATGGTCCCTTCATAACATTGTCACAAGTTGAATTATAGAGAACTTTGGCAATGCGGTTGTGTTATTTCCACTTATCCAAGTATGACATTAAGAGTCAAAACAGGGATATTTAAGAAAATGTGGTCTTTTCTGATGTCCAGAGGCATGTCCTCCATGCTTGGTAGTCTACAGCCCAACAGTTTGCTGTTTTTGAGTCGTAAACAGTAGACCGTTCAGGAGTACTATTTAATTATTCTTAGTTCAACAAATGATTTTTCCTGCAGATGTTCCAAGATTTTTGAAACTCGATTTTCTAGAAAACCCGCGGCACCCTTGCTCTAGACACTTGACACACCTCACCTGATTCATCACACACTGCAGTGGTCCATCAGAATTCAACACAAATATTTTCCTGGGTCCTGTTTGCTTTTACTGATCACTCTTAACAGAATTAAAAAAATTGAGCTCTGGCAAGATTGGGTTTACAATTCGCAGAAGAGTGTGGGACTGCCAGGATCTGCACCTGTGGCTGGAAGGTTGCTGGTTCAAATCCCGCAGCTGGCAGAGGAATCCTACTCCGTCGGGCCCCTGAGCAAGGCCCTTAACCCCCACTGCTCCAGGGACGCCATATACATGGCTGACCCTGTGCTCTGATCCCAAGCTTCTCTCTCCCCTTCTGTGCCTGTGTGGAGAGCAAGTTGGGGTATGTGAAAAGACAAATTCCTAATGCAAGAAATTGTACATGGCTAATAAAGTGATCTTATCTTAAGAATTGATGTATGGCTGTGTTAATGTGTTAGGAAGTTGCCATGCCGAGTAAAGCTAAAACCATCCACTATAGCTAGGAAATCAGCAGAAACAAAGTAGTTAAAAGTTAATGTTGAAATCAACAGGTACAATACTTGTTGTCAAAGAGTTTAAAAACACTGAAAGCTGAAGCAGAAATATAGTAGAGTGTGCAGAATGGCCGCTGCTTGGAGTTGTTTACTCAGACTCGAAATAATTCTTGTTTCTATTTACTCAAGAAAATACGGCGAAAAAAATGAGTTTCGCATATTGCTCCTGCACTTGTGAAGAGCAGAGCTGCCCTGTGCAGGTGTGAACACTGGCATTTTGTTTGTAAGGAGGTTTTTAAAAGCCTGGTGTTCTGCTGAAGAAGGCTGTTGCACTGAGACGCAGGCCTGCATTAAAACACAATAATGAAGCTCACTCTTCAGCACCACAGACTAATCCCTGTGGAGAAGTAAAAGGAGTCCTAAAGACATTTTACACAGAGATGACCTACTAGAGTTTTTATACAGGCACAGATTTGCCTGAAAGCTTTTTCTCGTATTTAGTGAGCTTGATCTGTATTCTCTTGTGCTGCAACTAGTGTAGTATTTTAACCTAGCTTTTTGAAAGTAAACTTTTTAAAGCAGATCCTTTTTAGAGAACCAGTTCATATCATCCAGTTCCGTTGAATTGATTCAAAAGATTTGAGCATTTGATTTCCCGACTCATTTTAACGACTTGGAGACCTGAATCGCAGACTGAATCAGTCTGATTCAGCAAACGCAACTGGATCATTAAACTGCTGAAATGGGTGAGTCGCTAAAACAAATGATTCCCTCAATGACACGGGGCTGCTAAATCCTACCAAAGTAATTGCTGAAACAGGGCTTAGTCACTTGCAAAACGAATTCATAAATAGCAAGGTATATGTTAAATGAATTGTCTTGGCAGTTTTTTTTTAAATGTTAGGATATGTACTTTGAGGAAAAACTCAGGTCCTAGTGAAAATCTAGTATATAGACTGTGTAGTTAATGAGAACGTAGCCTTTTGACTTTGTGCAGCTGTATTTTTTTGGGTTGTTGGATGATGTAGCAAAATTGAATTTGTACATATACTGATGGGTTTGTCACAATTATAGTGATTTATGCCATCCGTCATAAAATGTAGATAATATAACAGCGATGTGTAAACATCAATTTGTTTTTATTTATAATAACAAGTTACCTAAGCATATTGCCATTGTACCTCTGTGCCTTATAGTCACTTAGAAGTCTTCCGTATGAAAACATTTCTAAATAAATTCATATTCTCATTGTTTCTGATGAGATGTTAAAACTTATTATAAAGTGTCGTGCTTCTACCTTATAAAATTATATGACTGTTTATTTGGTTTTTTGAAAGAATTTGACATTAGCTCAATGGGTGTTGAATACATGGGATATTAAAGGGTGCAGTCTTTAATAATTGACCTGCCTGGCATAGTTAAACCGTTCAAAGTGCACTGAAACCACAAACATCTTACTGTGATAACGTCTGCCCTCCCAATTTAAAATGCATGGTTTGCTCCTGCCTGCTTCAGAATTGCATTAGTTTGATTTGTCGATTTGAAGTTTTCTAAACTTGAATGTGTTCTTAAAGGTTGATAATGTTTATCATTAAATGAACAAGTCAGTTTAGTTCAGAAGAGGGTTTTGTTTAGGTTTCCTCTTTTGTGTTGTGAATTTTGTTAAGCAACTATTACCAGGTGCTTATAAGACTGGTGTCAGAGCTGTCCCTGAGAGTGCATTGTTCTTAGTTACAGTACATGGCCAGAAACAATACGTTTGACAGTACAGATGGGTTTTCAACTTCTTTTCTGTCTGGAGGAGTCTTTTTAAATCTCCTGGTTTCGTTGTACCAGAAAATCTAGTGAGGCTGGGTGGAGACAGATTAATTTGCAGTTGGTTATATTCATCTGCATAAATTGTTACACACCTTGTCAGAACATAATTTCCCTTTTTCTCTTTCTGTGCTTGCTGTGATTTATTTTGTATTATATTGTTTTGTTTTCAAATGTTAGACAAAAAGCTCAAGTTTAAAAATAATATTTCAGAATAACTTAAACAAGCAAAACTGAAAAATCTCAAAAGCCAAACTGAAAGTCATTCAATCTATCTTGGCTTCTGGTGGAGCTCAACAGCAGTATTATGATGACAAGAATTACAATTTTGAAAACTGAGGGGAAGAGATAAAACAGTTTAACATTGGTTTAAGCTTGTTTCCATGGGTTTTATAAAAGACTACTGTAGCAGCAGCTAAGGAGTGCCAGAAGCAACATGACAAAAGTTGACCAAACTATGTTTGAAAAATGTGTGGGGGAAAAAACACTTCTTTCCCTTTATTATCCAGAGCACCTGACTGAATAAAAATCCATAGTGTGGTTCATAAATGTGCTTTGTTTGTCAAACAGGATGGTGCCACAATGCGCAGATTGGGGGCTCATTGTGTGTGTGTCCGATTTTCAGGCAGAATCCGGCTATGGCTCAGAGTCCAGTTTGCGCCGGCATGGCTCCATGTTGTCTCTCACATCCGCAGCAAGTGGTTACTCTGCCACTTCCACTTCATCTTTCAAGGTAGGTTTGAAGTTTTAAACCCCTCTGCTCTACAACTGCAAGATTGTGCTGATTTTTCTTGCGTACAATATCCTGTCCCCAAAGCCGGATTTTTAAAAGATTTTGGTTACAAATTCCTGGACCAGCCAAGCAAAAGTAAAAAATTCAGTATTTATGCATAATTCACGCCATATCTGTTTACGGGGGGTTATACTGTTTCGGCAATTTGAAATCTGGTTTATTAAATGTCAGTTGATTATTACTTGAGCTTCTGTTATTTTTTTCTAGAAAGGACACAGTTTACGTGAGAAACTTGCCGAGATGGAAACATTCCGGGATATTCTGTGCAGGCAGGTGGACACCCTTCAGAAATACTTTGATGCCTGTGCTGATGCTGTTTCCAAAGACGAACTCCAGAGGGACAAAGGTGTATATCTAACCAAGTGTTGTTTTTGTTTTTTTTCCAGTTAGATTTCATGGTATAAAATATATACAAAGTTTTGGTGTTTCCACACAACGCATAACTTTGAACAAAAGTATATGTCATATTTTAAAATAGGGGTTTAAACAGAGCTGTGTCAGCATGCCTTGGCTGCAGCGGAACATTCATTCCATGCTGAAAGGTCTAGAAAAAACACTTTCTTTCAGCATTTACCAGCAAAGTTACCTTTCAGCATGGAATAAACCTTTACATTTCATAATGGAAGCAAAAGTATGAGCACAGGAAAAACAAGGGACATTCAAGTGGACAGACACATTCTTACCATGGGCAGGTAAGACAGAACGAGGCCTTCTCGAAGTGACCGTTAAGGATGTACAGGATGCTGTCAAACAGGTTTGTGTGACAGTGTTAAGGATCACACAGCTGAAAAGTGCTAAGGAGCAAGTTCCTAGACAAATGGTTGTCAGCATTTCCCCTCCCAGGCCCCTCCTATATATAAGTCCTTTGAAAGGCTCTAGAGAAATATAATTATTTATTAGGTTTTTTTTTTAATCATGTTCCACCTGACTTTCCCATTATATTTGAGATTGTTTTGGCTTGGTTTTTTATATTATAACTAGTATTTCATTGAACCATCTTTCTGCTAATGGATGGATATTTCGTATTGCAAACCAAAGTGTCAGGGAAGCGAGGTCAAAATCAATTTCTGTGCAGACATCCATTTTTCAAGCACTGCTTGGGGAATAGAAAGCTGCACCATTATTGGTGCCATAGCGAATATTACAGAAAACATCAATTCAAAATCCCTGAACCTCTTGAGGTAGCTGAAAAAAATAGTATTATGAAATATTGAGTTTTCAGTTTTGAATTTCTGTGATTTTCAGCCTCCTCCTTTGTCCCAGGAATCCACAATTTGGATTTACCATGATCACTTTAATAGATGTAGCATACAGTATTTGTTCCTGGTAGTGCTTTTCAGTCCCCAGCACAGATAGTCTACTGATAAACTGAAAGAATCAAGTATTTCTTTTGTTATTCTTCTCGCAGTTTTTTTTCTTGAGAATCAGCTAGGCTTTTGTTTACTGCAGCTATGCACTACAGTATCCACGCTATGTTCACTTTGCACAGTCCTTATATTTGACGGCTGGTGTGAAGACGTCTGCTGTGTCTGCCACAGAGCCTTCTGACATGACTGACTGTACTTTTTCTTCTTAGTTGTGGAAGATGACGAAGATGACTTTCCTACGACTCGTCCTGATGGGGAATTTCTGCACAACAATAATGGCAGCAAAGAGAAATGTAAGTATTTTAAATCCCAGTTATTATACTAAGTCATCTTCTCAAGAAGCACATTTGTTTTTAATTATGCAATTCTCATTTATTGATGCATGCGGTTCTGCCAGACATTTGAAATAAAATGTATTAAACTTTAAAAAAGCTAAAAAGGCTAATTAGGATTGCTAATTAATATTGGCTGTGTTTTTTGTGGGGGTGATAGTTTTTTATTTCTTTAGATAGTGATGTCACAGGTTATGATTTGAAGGGTCATGTCCAAATGCGTCTGTCAATTGTTTTATTAAATGTTCTTTTTTGAAAATGTCAAATACATGAAGCATCTGATATAAATTACATGTGCCTGATATAAATTACATGCCGCTAGGGGAATTTATTCAGCAAACAACTCTACCTTTTAAAACGACATCTGTAAAACAGAGAAAGAAAAGTGTACCCTGTGGAGTGTGGCAAGGGAGAAAAGATGACAAATTGGGTCATAAGATAGAAACTGGCAGTGCAATGTGCAGAGTAATTGAAATTAGATGTTTTCGAACAGAACAGGAACAAGGAAAAACTGGATTGATTCTCAGATATCACTGTCAACAGTAGATAGTTCAACATCAGGATTATTGATCACAGCATTGTCTTTTATTTTTTAGTGTTTATTATTTAATGGGACTACATTAATGAAGACTAACATTAATTAATGATTTTTTTAGGAGGTTGCCAATCAACCTTCCTGTGTTTCAGGCAAGAGGATCTGATTTGTATGGTAGTGCAGTGTTCTCTTAGATTTTTGGCTGCATATGTCATTCATGGTTAGTCAATTATAATGCCTTGCTTATGGGGGAGTTTTCCAAGGTATTTAACAGGCTACACTGTGGCCAGAATTGGGCTTCACACATGCTAGCTCAAATACTCTGCACAATACAAAATTCCTGTCCTGTAACTTTCCCTGTCTCCCTGCATCATTTAGAGTCGACTGCAGGGTTCTCCTGCTCTCGTATAAGACACTGAATGGTCCTGCTGCAGACTATTTTAAGGATTTATTGCATAAATGCCGTCCAGCTCTTTATATGAGATCTGCTGATTCAGATCTTCTTACTGTGCTGATGAATTAATCAGGCTTCACACAGTGAACAGCAGAGCTTTTTATGTTGTGTTATAGAACTCATTGTCCCAGTATGTGAAAAACTGTGACTGTTGGCATTTGTAAAACACATAAAGGTCTAACTTTTCACTAAATAATTTAATTTTACTGTTGGTTTCATAAATGTGCACTTTGAGATTGTTGAAAGTCAAAGTTATTTCTTTTATTGTTTTTAAATTGCAATCAATGAGTCACATACTGTAAAAAAACACCCATCATCACTGTCAAGATTTTAAAACTTTTCACCTTTTTTAGTACTGTACTTGTAGCATTCCTTTTTTGTAATATAAACAACACCTTTGCTTATACTGTATTGGGGAAGAAAGTGTGCATCTTTCATTCAGTGTGTCAAGGGTTAATGGCTGTACTGTACTGTAATCACTGCTGAAATGTCCAAGAAGCAATTGTTTGTTTTAGTGTAGCAGTGTTAACTAAATATAATCATATATCCTCTAAATGAAACTGTTAACACTAGTCAGCTCCGGATTTGCTTGTGTTCACTCTTTAACACAGAACCATGTGAGAATGTAGGATTTAAATCTGGTAGATTTTATCACCACCTTCTAAAGTATTTGAAAGGTATTCTTCAAATGTGCATTGCAAGTAATGCTGTAGCATTGCAATGTTGCTAACTCAAGAAATGGTAAATCTTAATTTCTGAAATATTGTTCTCCTGGATTATTTCACAATGAGAAAATCAGTTGATTGCTGTTTTACTTTGAAGTAGAGCTTGTATTTAAAGTAGATTGATGCTCTATTTATCTATTAAAAGGTTAGTGAATAGTGAATGACTGAGTTAAGGAGGTGCTTTTTAATTTTTTCTAGTATTTCCATGTGTAAATCCCAAAGGAATCAATGGCATTGACTTCAAAGGTGAAGCTATCACATTCAAGGCCACCACTGCTGGGATCTTAGCAACTCTCTCGCACTGTATTGACCTCATGGTGAAGCGTGAGGATAGCTGGCAAAAGAGACTGGACAAGGTAAAGTCCCCTTTCTGTTCAGCTTTCCTGTTTTTCTGTCATTTCTTATCTCTGTTTTTTTAAGTATTGTAGTTTATCTGTACCAAACCAATCCATGAAAAATAGTTCTGAAAACTGAGCACAAAGGACAACAAAGAGCGAAAGCTGGGTCAAGAGATCTAGATAAAAAAATAGGCACCCTAAATACTTGTAATTATACTTTATGGAAAATGATTCAAGCATGGTCAATAGGGCACGGTACCATTTGTCCTTAATCCGAAAATGTCATTGTGGAAGACGGAGCTGATGGGATTCTGTGCTTCTGCCATCTGTATGTAGGACTTGCACTGATATCCAACATTCAGAATCACTCTGAGAATGATACGTGTTTGATATGGCAGATCCCTTCAAGAATACTTTTTCTTGGGAAGCTTTGTAAAACTCCCCAATTGTTGTTGAATTGAAAAAAATGAAAATAGTTCATTCTGCACGGTTTCAGCTTATAAGGAGGGAAAAATACTCAACATTCAGCTATGAGCACTGAAGGGCTTTTTTTATTGTGTTACACTTGGACAATAATTCTTGGTGCGGCTGACAATTGCTCACTCGCTGTGAGCAATGCAAGGTGCAATGGTGAATAACCAACACTAGGTTATTCATAACCACATTAGGGTTTAGGGCTTCCGTTGTGTTTTGGAGTAGAAAGTCCTGTCACAGGAAGCAGCCAGCTGACCATATGGATCCAAATTTTATCCAGATTATAGAGCTCACAACCTCTTCTAAGCCATCACTCAAGACGATGTGATATGAGGCCGATCTGCTCAGTTATCACATTAAAGTTAGTAAAACTACATTCTTTAAGATATCCAGTCCAAAGATTTTAATTTTAATGAATGAATTGAACTGACAATATGTACGTGATCAAATCAAGAAAAAAATGTTTTCTGTACAGTGCTACAACTTATAAAAATGCATTTCATAGACTGTATGGTTCTCTAGAAAAATTATCTGACCTATGTTATACAATTGCAGTAGTTTAGTGATTTGTCTGAATACAGCACCTCGCTTCATTTTGTTCAACTCCCCGAGTCATTTTTATTCTCCTTTGGTGATCTGTATATCACAGATGCTTGTTATACATAGCTACTGAGTGTGTTAAAATTAGTGTGAAATACACAGGTTTGAGTGAGACAGAAGACTGTATTGACACCGGTCGAGAAACCAAGGGAAACAGTACTGAATGAATGTTAAATTGAGCAGTGCATGGCAGGTGTATTTAGTATTTCTGCACTTGGAAAGTGCTAACCCTGACATATAGTCAATGATATGTAGCCATTTCTACTTAATTCTTGAAGATGAAGAGTGTTTTATTATGTGCTGTGATCCTGAAATATGGATTTTTTACAATTTACTCAGCAAGAAAAACTTAAGAGTATGTCAAGTTTAAATATATACAAATGTGAAATATGGGTTATGTATTTAAGCTGCTTATACTTCATAAAGGCAGTTGCCTTCTCTGAGGACTAAGAAAACTATGAAAAAATGTTTATGGGCTTTGAAATACCAGTTCCTTATTTTTCAGGAATAGGTGGCAGTATTGTTGTCCAGTGACACTGGAGTGTTAGAGATTTCTACTGGCAGATTAAAATCTGTAGTTTCACCTCTTTAATTAAACAAGTATGTTTGCCTAATATTGAATCTTTAATTGAACTAATATGTATGTATTTTTTAAGTTGCTTTTTAAATGCAATAATTAGATCTGAAAACTGCTGAAACATTCAAATATTTTTTTTAGTTCAGTTAACTGTTCAACTATATAAAGTCTCCACTTGAGAGGCTGAAAAGCCCTTCGCAATATTGCATATCACAATTATGCAGGTTATTACATAATTATATACAGTTGAGTTAATTTTACATTTAGTGACTATCCCAGGTTTTGATTTTACCATGTTTCAGGTTATCTTATCCTTAATGTTGAAAATATTTGATTCATGCTTATTTAATATTGGGAACCATTTAAGTATAAACTGACTCAGTACCCATAGTTTGCTTTTTTCTTTAATAAAACTCCTCTCACACACGTTTTTGGGAAAATGGCATGCTCAAGCAGCAGCTTAGAAAATGTCTACTAAGTAATTAAGACAAAATTCCCTTTTGACTTATTAAAACAGAACCTATTTGTTTCAATATTGTTAAATGTGTTTAGGGAAAAAGCACTACAAGGGAGTAGTAACTTCACAAATGATGGAAGTTAAAGGTTTTGTTCCGATATGTGTAAGATTGTAGGTTTTCTTACATGAGAAGTTACATGATATTTGCTAATTGTCAAACTATCTGAATTGCAGCAAAGTTGGGAGTAATTCCAAGCTTTGTAAAGAGCACAGGATCATGTTTAGTCATTATTTTTAGTAGCTGTCCTAGATAGTTACACTTTCAGCTTTTCTTTTCCTTGATTAGGTGAGCTTTTAAGTGTGGAACTATGGCAGCGATTTCAGGTGCTTTTCATGAGGTTGCAAAACCTGTTTCACCATATCTCTCAGCAAACAGTCGAGCCTCAATACGTATGACAGGAAGTCCCTGCTCCTTGAAACTGCAAACTAAAGAGTGTAAAGTGTGTGGATCGTGGAGAAGTGAAACCTTGGATTAAGGGCTGATACAGACTTGTTTCCAGTGGTTTAATCGCCATACAAAAAGATGACTTCTTCGTCTCCAAGCTGGATACCATACCAGCTATCCTTCTGGAAGCCGAAGCAGCACAAGCCAGCAGGAACTATGAAACATGACAACCAGAAGTGGATTCCTTTGCGGGCACGGAGCGAGTTCTTCGCTGTATGTTTAAAAATGTCTCCATATCAGGTTGACCTTATGGGGCAAGCTTAATCAGAAATTATTTTAACCCTTTGCTCAAGTGCTCTTTTACTGTTTTGTGCTTTAAAACATGGTGGAGATTTAAATAAATGTTTAAAACTTATTTAAAAGTCACTCCTTCATGCAAATAATATGACCTAAAACTATAATGACAGAAGTAAAAGGTTTTATTAAAATTAGTTTTCTTTTAACTTTGTTTCAGTCACTGCAGATGGTTAGAAATCTTAAATGTAATACATTAAAGTTCCTTGTTTGTTTACTAGTCTTTGGGATCCTCAGTTACTATATTACAATACTGTTTGGAAGGCTGCCTTAATGATGACTTACATTTGTAGTCACTAATTCCATAGAAAGTAACCATAGAAATAAACCGTGTAGGGAAGATTGGTGTTGATGTTGGACAGTTTAGGACCTTAAATGTTCTCCGAGATCCAAGTTTACTTCGAGACAAGAGACAAGTGACAAGAATAATACATATCACCACTAGTTGGAAAAGTGCTTTGTTTTTTCTGGGTTATTTGTTACTTCAGCACAGAGTCCTTAAGCGAATTACTACTAGAGGCAGTCAAAACAACATCAGTAAAGCAGGAATGAATTGTAATTGTGCTTCATGATGGTAGGTTTAGTGCAGGTGGTTTTAAGTGACAAGATCTGAAGTATTTGAACGTTCAGTTTCATTACTTCTTCTGAAGGACATAAATCTTCAGAACTCTTCCAACATATTGATGACATCCCTACTAAATGTGAATACCAGAACTGAAAACATTATTTGTTTAATTATAGTAGTGCGATGCAATTAATGATGATTGGAAATGCAGGATTAGTTGTTTTAATGATTGTTTTTCCCATTTCAAGGAAATGGACAAAAGAAGGAGAGTTGAGGATGCATACAAAACTGCCATGACAGAGCTTAAAAAGAAATCTCACTTTGGTGGCCCTGATTATGAGGTATATTTGTCATTGCACTTTTTTCTGTTACTAAGAAATAGAACTAGAAGTCAAAATAGTATTTTCTGTTCTTCTGTTAATCTTTATTAAATATCAACATCAGGTAATTAAGGCGTATATGATGAATAGGCACTGCAGTAAAGCTTGTTTATGCAGTTGTTTGCCAAATGTAGATATTTTGGATAAACTGTGCATGTTTTACATTACCAGTGAACATATTGGCTGAAATAGCTTCTTCTCATATAAATTTGCAGTATTGCTTTTCTGAATATATATATTTTATTATTTTGGAGGTTATTTTTTAAAATGTCCTGTTTGCTTTTATTATTATTTTTTTATCTAATTAAACAGGAAGGTCCAAACAGCCTTATTAACGAAGAGGAGTTTTTTGATGCCGTTGAAGCTGCCCTTGACAGACAAGACAAAATTGAAGAACAGGTAAGTTTCTATTAAAAAAAAATCTCTCTTGGCAAGAACTGGTTAGTATTTTTGGCTAATCATTCTGTGGTCTGTAGCTTCCATCACATATCGTGTCTTGAGTGTTGATTCAGTTATACTTTGGGACATCAAAGTGTGAGAAGGAACTGAACCAAAGGAAGAAAAAAGGCACTTAGCTGAAATTATACCAAACTGAATGTCTTTATTTCTGTTAACTCATGAGTTAATTTCAATGAATGCACTTCACTTGACACCTAAAGAATGCAAAGCAGTGGAGACAGCCATAGTACTGGATATCAGCTTACAATCAAAATGTTACACACATTATTACTATAATGGCCATCAAATAGTATTTGTTTTATGAGCATGTGCTATTGGAAGATTTGTCAGGTGACGTACACCATTCCTATTATAAGTATAAACATGAATACATTTCATATGTTTCCTGCATAAAACATAAGGTTTAATTTGACCCATTTACTCAAGAAATACTCAGAAGTGGAGTTGGAAGAAAGTTGCTTGTAGTTGTACTATCGAATACAGAGGGATTATTCCCTTTCTTCTCATTTAGAAGGAAATAGATACCGAAAAAAATATATATTTCATTGCAGATGGAACATGCAAAGATTAGAGATATCTTTCACATAGAAGGGTGCTGAGTAAAACTGGCCTATGAATTTGAACAGGGTTGAAATTTAAGGGCATCAAGGACATGAGATGATACAGACAAAGAATAGGTTAGTTGGCCCATGTAGACTGTTTTCAGCAGTTAATTAATCCAAGGATCTCATCCAGCCATTTTTTAAAGCCAGGGTATCTACTTCAACTACTTGACTGGGTAGCTTGTCCTTTCTCCTACAGCCCTTTTCATCCTCCTGATTTTGAATTATGTTGTCCATCACATTGAATCACAGTCCTAGGGATTCACTAACAGTCAGAGCTTTGTTTTTTAAAGTCGGTTTTTGTTCTTGCACCGTGTTCAGATGTTAAATTCCAGTCAACTTAAGGTCATTGATGTTTTAAAATGTAGTGTCAAAATGTATGATTTATAATAAGTGATGAAGTGTTATTTGTGTAAAACAACTGTACTAAAATATGGAAAAACATTCTTCTGGGTTCATCTCACTTATGCACAAACAGACTGAACACTTTTTACTACCACCATCCCCTCATCATATTGTTCCTTGGTATCCCACAAATTCACATATATCATAATTTCGGAACTAGCCCTCTGTTGAGAAACCGTGTACAGTGGCATGGCAGGATAGTGCTGTTTCCTTACAAATACACATACAAGACCAAGCTTGGGCGCTACAGGATTTACAGGTTCTTTCTGCAGTCATGTACAGTATGCTCATTTCTTTGACAAGTCTGTGTGGATATGCATACATCATGAAATCCATTTAAAAACGCATTAGGATCTGTTGGTTCCATTGGTTGTGTTATTAATGTCTCTTATACAGTCGATACTTCCTGTGGCAGGAGAAGTAGTTAATCTTGACTTTTCCCCCTTTATTTACAGTCCCAGTCTGAGAAGACCAGGATACACCGGCCCACTGCAGTGCCTTCTGATGATGCCTACTCAGCCGTTGGCAAACACAGATTCGGCCAAAAGGTATTTTCTTCCCTTTTGTATTTGCATCCGACTACATTGATTTAAATCCTGGAAACCTTGGAAATCTGTTCTTTTCTAGAATTCCAGTGCCCTCCAAAAGAAATGGGACGACAAAGTAAGAACAGATATTTTTGCTTTACAGTGTTCGCATTTTATTTTTTCATAACTCCATTTTTTTATTCCATTTTATCTTATAAGTATGGAAACGTTTTTTGTGTTTCTGCCAGTGACCAAAAGTATTATATTAGAAGTAGTGACTCATTCATTTAGTAAAAAGGTCAGTATTTGGTTGCATATCTCTGCAAGGCGATAACTGCATGATGTCTTCAAATCAGTCCAACCAAAGTATTTGTATAATCATTTGAAATACTGTTCCCTTTGCAGCTGCCACTTTGAGATCTTGCCTGTTCTTGGGGTGTTCTGACTTGATTTTTTTTTTATGGATGCAAAGTGTATTCTCAGATAGATTTAAATCTGGAGATTGATGTGGCCAGTCTTGGATTTTCTACTTTTATTTTTCTCTCAATGATCTCCTTGGCTGCCACGACCTTTGTTCTTTGGAGTCATTATCATGCAACATGGTGAAGCAACACCCAAAAACAATAGAAGGATTGTTTTCTGCCTAAGCAGACAGAATGTTTCTGCCGACTTCAGAATTCATTCATTATTTCAACATGAATCAAGAAGAATGAGGCAGTTCCAGAGGTGACTATGCATGCTCTGGCCATGGCATTACCACCACTTTTGGAGGGCACTATGTGCATTTTTATTTGTTTATGGTAATGAGTACAGTCTGTAAGAGTAGAGATGAGTTTTTCACCATGTTTGCCAATATTATTTTAAAAATGTATAAGCAGATGCACAGTCTCCTGTAATGATTCCAGCATTGAGTGGTTGCAGCTTGTCAATAAATATGGCATGAATACAACACAGGAGGTCAATGTGCCTAGTGTTCATGGCTTTGCTTTTTGCTTATGGTTTTCCTCCCAGTCATCTCGGGTGAAAGCTGTTGATTGAATGCTTTGTTGTGCTTTTGTTCTGATTCCCGGGTTTTTTTTTCTTTGTCTGTCTTTGTGGTAGCCCTATAGTCGCTCTTCCTCCATGTCTTCCATTGATCTAGTCAGTGCCTCTGATGATGTTCACAGATTCAGCACCCAGGTACTGTATTCAGACAGAGAGGTCTCTGGTATCTTTCTGCATTGTACCATATAGTTATGAGATGAGACCCTCTAACAGCATGCAGTTTTTTTTTATCCTCCCTCTAACAAGCAAAAAAAAAACTTCAGAGTGTGAGTTGACATTTTCCCTGATGTAATACCACTTTGTAAAAATGTCTTTTCTTTAATTAACCAGCTTCCTTGTTTTCCAGAAGTACTCCTTTTTATTTAACTTGTCCTGAAGGAAAAAAAAAAACTTTAATTTACTACATTTTGTAATCCAAAGTGGGTGCATGCAAATCAGGGTAATGTCATAGTGAAGATGAAGGCTGTCACTTTTGTAAAGCTTGTACAATAGTCCTAGCCACTCTTGAACATAAATCTGCCATTTGTATCTGTAAATGTAATTCCAGAGAATGGAAGACAACAGCTCCTTGATTTTTCTTTTCCAGTCAAAGGATTAATAACATTTTTAGAGTTATTTTTCCCCTGTACCGTGGGGATCCCAGCTTGTACTTGTTAAGTTGATTGTGACCCAAAGTACTGGTTCAGTGCTTTTCTTGGAATTAAGGGACCATTATTATTTAGATCACAAGCAGGCACTGTGAAATCAGTGGCTTTGTTCTACAGAATTGAACTTGAAGATCTTTAAGTCTCATAATTTGTTTAAAACTAACATAAGTTTATCATTACTGGATTTCTTGACATTTTTTATTCCCATAAATCTTACGATAGGTGACTTATAATGCTGTGTAAAAATAAATCTCAAAACAAAGTAAAGGGGTGTTTCTCTTAACACCAGAATAGAGTTCCCATCATTGCTATTGAACTCTGTGTGAGTTTTTTTTTTTCAAAATTGTTAAGTTAGTAAATGAGTGGTCAGGTGTCATGTAATTTGAATTTAATGGCACCTTTTTATAAGCTGTTTGAAAAGGAGTGAAAATTGAGGAACCTTGTTTTCTATCTCGCATTGTAATATTCATAAGATACCAATTAATTATATACAGTTGTGACTACACAAAACATTTGCCAAACAGCTCTTTTGGTTATTTATAAAATTAAAAATGAACCTATTCTCTGGTTAACCTTATAAGTCATGAATGTTTAAGTGATCTACAGTTTGTTTTCTGGCCTTCCTTTAAGGAATAGCTGGATGAGATCTCTGAATCAATTACCTACTAACCACCAAAGGAACTTGATGAGCCGAATAGCCTTCTCCCTTTTTTAACTGTTCTTTTGTCTTTATTTTACTGAATGCAAAATAAAGCACAAGTAACGTTATTTCTGCTGAAAGCTATGATGAAGTCACTTGAAATAAATTTCACATTCAAAATTCTCAGAAGGAGAAGTGTGGAGTCTCTGCAGATCTTTAGTCTCTATAAATATTCAGCTTGACATTTTAAGCATCCATAAAAATAACAAATAGAGTATTAATAGTGTCACTACTATATTGGCATTTTGTATTGTAAATACAGTATAATACTGTGACTGATGATCAAGCATTATGAATTATGAGGAGTGAATGATTAGGTACAGGGTGAACCTATATGAACCTATATACTGTGAACTTTGTGCAACATTCACACTAAATAGATCACAGAATAGTCCCATGTCCAAGAGTTAGTTTTTAAGAGTAGGGCTTCCCGATGAACTTACATAGTACTTAGTCTGTGTAAGTAATCAGATATTATAGTAAGTGCTTAATCTCTTATTTTTTAAGGGAAGTTGTAGTGATTTAATTAAAGGAAATTAGTTTCATGGTCAGAAAATCAGTTTTTAAAATTTGAGGTTTTGTACACGGCTGTGAACAGGTACGGCGCAGTGTGCTATGTACTGTATAATCTGCTGTTTTGCTTTCATCTGCCTTTTTTCTGCTATTTGAATACTGGCTGCGAGATAAAATGGAAAACTGCACAGAAGTAGGTTTCAAACGGGAACCGGATTTCAGACCACCGAATATCACGCCACGTGGAGACAATCAAATGTTGGAAGCTTTTTTCTCATGAGTGACATTATTTGTGTTACAGGTTGAAGACATGGTTCAGAACCACATAACATACTCCTTGCAGGATGTTGGTGGAGATGCTAACTGGCAGCTGGTGGTGGAAGAAGGAGAAATGAAGGTAAAGGGGACCTGACATGGGTTTCTAACTAGCCTAATACAGCAGCACGCACATTAGCACTTGAATAAGGAGAAGAACAATATTAATAATATTGATAATGAATAGTAGTAATGATAATAAATGCAGATAATAAGAGTAACACTCATAGTATATGCTATGGTATAATATCTTATAGTATATATAGTGTTATAATGTATTCAGA